GCTCCGCGGCCCCCCCGCGTCGGCTGGACAGCGGAAGTGCCGGCTGCGGCTCGCTGGGCATTGTGGGAAGCCCCCTCCCCTGGCCGGCGCGTGCGGGGGCGGCGCGGCGCAGTTCTATTGCCCGGCGCCCTTCCCCAGGGGTGGCGGGCAATCGACGACCCCTGGGTGGGAGAGGCGGCAAGGCGTGGCCCAGCCCTGCGGCGACGCCCGGACGGCGCCCCGCTTGGTCCAGAGCTGCGGGATCCCCAGGCACCGGCGGCCCCAGCCCCGCCGCGCTGTCGCGGGGCGCGCGTCTTGCAAACTTCGCGGCTCAGGCAGCGAGGCGGGCGCACGCGCCGGGCTGCGGGGACGTGGCGAGGCCCGCGGAGCCGGCACCTCGGGGACCTGGGCGCACGCGGGCCATGTGGTGGCGACTGCCACCGAGTTTGGGTGTCAACTAGCGGCACGGCCCCCGCGTGCTGCCTCCCGTGGTGCGTGTAGCCCTGGAGGGGTGCGGGCTCTGGTGACGCGAGGAAACCAGTAGCCTGGGCCTGGCCCCGAACCCGCAGCTGGTGGTCCCGGTCGCTGTCAGCACTGCCCGGCCCGTTGCCCTCCCTCCCCGCCCCCAGCGGCGCGGGAAGGCCCGCGCATCCCTTCTGGGCCTCGGATGCCGTGTTCAGCCCGTAGACGAGCGGCGTGGCGAGCGCGGCCCGCGTTCCGGGCCGGCTCTGGGGGAAAAGCCACGGCGCTGCCTCCCCTCCCCGGGTGCAGCGGCGGGAAGGGAGGAGAACTCGCGGCTGGCCGGCAGCGCAGAGGATGCGAGCACCCCGGACCAGCCAATCGCGAGGCGCCCCGGCGTCCGCGCCCTGCCTCCCGGTGGGCCAGCGCCGCGGAATTCCTCGGGAGGTGGGAGGTGGCTGGCCGCGGTGGAGCTTTCTCAGGATGTGTGAGGAAGCATTCACAGGGCGGCAGTGGGAGGACAGGCTGGGGGAATTCTTGAGAGAGCAAGGGCGAGCCGAGGTCTGGCAGCAGGCATGAAAGCCTGCGACACTCCCTCTGCTTACTGGCGCCTGGAAATCGTTGTGCAGACGCCCCTGCTCCACATCTTCCCAGCTGCCCGCGCTGGCACTGCTGGCCTTTCCTCCGAAGGACCCTCAGAGGCACATCCTCGGTCTGAAGCTTGGAGCTAGAGTTAGCCGGCCCTGTGGAGGCAGAGGCTATACACAGTCACAGTCACCCTGAAGTGACTGGTCACCTGCCCCCCTTTAAGGGGATAGAGTACACTCTGGATGGCCACACACATCCCACCCCCAGGCTGAATAGCCTGACAGGACCCTGGAAGTGTGGCCTGGACAGAACCCCTTGTGTCATCTCCTTCCCTGGAGAGAAACCAAGTGTCTCCCAAGATGGCTAGCTTCAGACAACCGCTGGTGGCCACCAGAGCTCACAGTTGGTGCTCAGTCATGGTTCAGCAGGCTGCCAAGGGACAAGGCGCGCTGTGCCTGCCCAGCTAGGGCTGCCCATCTAGCAGAAGCTCTGACTGAATTCTGGAATGACCAAGAGAAGAGTGAGCCCCACTCCTTTCCACTCCAACAACACTACTGGCGGTGGGGGTTCAATACTCCCATCTTTGCTGCTGTAAGAACCAAGAGCAGGTCAAGCAGCCAAAACACTGAAAAGGAAGACTGGAGGAAAATCCCTCAGAGAGAGCCCTGATTAAGCCATACCTAAAGCCACCCCACCTCCACACCATCTGCTGGTGGTTCTATAGACCTGTGTATCATTTCAAATAAGGGGGGGGGGGTCAAGGAGATGGCTCAGTAGAATAAGCGCTTGCCAGGCAAGCACAAGGCCCTGAGTTCAATCCCCAGTTCCGCAAAAAAAAAAAAAAAAAAAAAAGTAGCTTCCACCTCAGCAGATCACAGTGGAGAGGCCGTGGTTGCTCTGTGTCTGCTGGGAAGGGTCATGCTTACTCAGGCCCCAGCATCCACAAAACCATTCTGGAGTCAGGCCTGAGGTAGGCAGATGCCAAGCTAGGCAGTGATGTTCCTGTCTTGCCAGTCCAGCTGTCAGAGCCTGCACCTTACCCCAACACTACCTGGAAACCTGCCCACTTCTCACAAACATGGCAGCTTCACCCTGGAGAAAGGGCTTGGACAGGCACGAGTGGAGTGTGGGCATTGGGCAGCCGGTGGGGGCCGAAGTGCCATGAGGACTTGGACCTGGTCCTGACCTGGTCCTTGCCCTCCGCCGTGGGTGAACAAGACAGGCAAGTGGTGGGTGCCCAGGGCCCTGGAGGGCACATTTATCCACCTGTGTAGAGGGGTCGTTTGAGAGAGTTCTTCAGCCACCTGTGAGCATGTCTGGAGCCTGCCAAGGGATACCTCAAAGCTGGGAGGGAATGAGCATTCTGAGGGACAGGGCTGGAGGCCCAGGGCCACACTGGAAGATGACGAGCTTGCTGCTCAGGATGTGCTGCCCTTCCCTGCTGGCTCTAGAGTGCCGGAAGGATCATGAGAGCCAACAAAAGAGCCCCACGCCTCCAGCAGAGCCTGCACGTGCAGCGTGTGTAAGCCTGTGCTCACCAGCACCATTCCCACCTGCTCTGGCACCTGGCCACCTCCTCCGTGTCCCTGCCTTCAACCTCCTCCGTGTGCCTGCAAAGTAGCAGAGGAGCAGCGCGGGGCCAAGCACCACTCTGCTCTCCGAGGCTGCTGATGCAGGGACTACCTTTCATCCTCAGAATCTGCTTTTGTAAAGAACAGCCTAGCAGGAGCTTTGGGAAATAAAATTGGCGAGAAACAGCAAATAACCCTTCATGGCTTCCTTTCTATGTCTTGGGGGTGGGGAGGAGGGACCCTTCTTTCTTCAGGGCCTTTATCACCACCTCCATTTTTGCCGGAGGCAACATTTCCTTATCTCCCCCCCCACCACCACCACCACCCCAGCTAGGTTTTCTGTGGCTGTCTTTGTCTCCCTCACTGGTCAGGGAACCTGCCTGTTTATTCTCTAGCCAGTGGTGTTGCTCAGTTGTCCCCATGGCAACAGCCCCAGGAGTCCTGCTCCCTCCCAGGGAGCTGCCCAGAACCTGTCCCTGCTCTCTCCCAGGCCTCTGCTGAGAAACCAGACAGAGGAGCAGAGTGCAGGGTGAGAGGGAAACACCCTCTGCCGGTCTGAGGATGTTGGGCTGCCCCAGGGAAACACCCACTACACGTCATCCTGGGTCCTGCGGTGGACCTAGGCTGGCCTCGGGCTGCAGCAGAGCCCCACCCATGGGCCAGAGAAGGTGCCAGGTCCAGGCTGAAAGGAGGTGGGTCTCCTCTTAGGCAGAGTTTGGCCGCTCGAGTGCCAGCTGGCTCTGCCCTCCTGCCCAGGCTTCCCAAAGACCACCCTTCAGAGCTGCTCTGTGGCTGAGGCTACCTG